TGTCTTATTATATGAATTATTCCATGAGTTACTCCAGATATAACGATAATTCACTTTACGACTGTTGGGGTTATTGGATTAATTCCCAGTTCCAGATCAAGTAAAACATTGTAACATCTTTTCTAATTCAAAGAACATCAATCATAAATAATAATTAAAGCAGAACTAAAATATTTTTGTTTCTGTTTTTAAAAGTTAAACGCCATTTACTTCTACTTTCGCTTTTTTCTTATAAACACTAGTTGATAGCAGAAGTCATTTCTGTTCTTGTTTCGTTCTATGAATCGTTTTTCACACCCCGAAGCCTTAAAAAGAGAGTCTTATATGATTCAAGCACGACCTTGGTTAAAGGACTGTTATATATCAATTTGGAAAATACTTTTTAAAATGTCAAAAATGAATCATAAATAATAATTAAAAATTACAGCCCTGAAACATAAATCAGTCAGTGTTAGATATTGCAGAAGTAATATATAATTCACTACGCCACTCTAGTGAATGTGTGAGAAACTGCTAAACCTCTATTTAATCTCTTTTATCTTATTTAATCTAAAATTTAAGGGACTAAGTAATCTTTCAAGTTCCGCAATATGGGGCAAAGGACAAGGGTAAAAGAATGTCTTAAATCATGAACAAACAAACGCAATTTATTTGAATAAATATTTGCTTGACAAGCAGGATTCAACTTTGAACAATTACTAATGGACCTTTAGCATGTGGTGTTATAAATCTGCCAAATATTTTGTGAAATCTGGAACATTCTTGCGATTAGTAAGAACACAATAAGATAGATCTGTTGACATGATTGGGTTTCCTAAGAACAAAAAAGAATTATCTGAAACAAGTATTGAAGCGTACAACCTGTAAAACTGAAAAAAATGCCCATTTGAAAGAAATAAGTATCGCACCGGATTATGTTATGCGATGCACAGTAGATTTGCATTATCAAAAAAAATTTAATTTAAAATATATTTGTCACTATTATTTACTTATAATTAATTAATCTTCTAGATTTTAAATTTTTAGCACCATGGCGAGAGGATATCCAAAGAATCAAACGAACGCCGAGCGTCATAATTGGGAATTCAGTCTTCGATTAGGCAGGGGTTCTCAACCGGTGGTACGCAAAGATGCAAATTATTTTGAACTATTCAGTTCATAAATTAAGTCCTCAACATACTGATTGAGTTTTTTCTCTAACTCTCGTAAATTTATGCGATCTTAAAAGCTTTGTTCAAGGTGTGTGTTGAGTTTATGGCAAAGCACACGAGGGCTATCTGCCTAAGGGGGAGGGATGCCTTCATGGATTACTTTCTAAGGGAAACTGGTTCGTATACACGTTACATATGGGGAAAACCACGAAAATGCCCATGCATCCAGCCCGTTCGCGGGATTCGAACCTCGGACCGAACTACCAGTGTTCAGCGACTTTACCGCTCAGCCGCTGGTGGGCCTGCTTTGTTCAAGAGTGGTGGTGGTGGTGGTAGTAGTACTTGTAGTGGTGGTACTAAATGTTTCAATTTTTGTTTAGATGGTACGCGATAGTCAAAAGTTTGAGAACCGCTGGATTAAGGTCTTTTTGAAAAAGATGTTGAGAGATCAGAAGCATAAGGCGGTTACCATTAAAATAACCATAATTTTTTATTGCCATGATTAAAAAATAGGACATTTCTATTAGCCAATGTCCTAGTGCATTTTTTTTTTTTTTTTTTTTTTTTTAAATCTAAGAACTTGTTTTATCCGTGTTAGTTATTCATATACAACTCTTCAATTTAGTTTGGGATCCAAGAAACAGTACGAGGAAGTAATAATACTTGACAGCAGAAAGTTGTAATTAAAATCATACTTATGAACTCCCAATCCATGTATTGATGTTTTTTTCCTTTAGCTTAAGTGATGTATAAATAAAATATTCCTAATGATCAACAACAGCAGTTGGCAAACAGGCAAACTAAACGCAACAATGCATCACGGGAAAAGAAACTTAACAGTAAGTGTTAATTGAAATGCAACCTTGGTTTACTAAAATAACACCTTCAGGTTCTCACTCGGCTTTAATCACGACACGGTCTTAAATTGTGAAAAAAAAAGGGGAAGTGTTTACATCCTTGTTTTTGTTGGAAGAAACATTTAACTAAGATTTAAGGCATGAAAATGTTGTTGGAGATATTTCTGTCGCCTATGCACCGAAGTTTACATTTGTGTGCTTCTGAATCACAGCTGTTTTCGCTTTGCTACAAATACTGGTTAACCACAGCTAACATATAAATTAAAATACAAGATTTAAAATCTGTTAGCTTGTATTTGAGGGTAGGATAAATAATATTTCTATTTCGCTTCACAAAACTACTACAATTTACACTTTCAAAAATCAAACGAAAACAAGATTCACGGATATATTTAGTTGCTTCTGAAGCATATGCATTTTATTTGCTAAAAAAGTCAATTATATGGCATCCTTTCTGCGTTTAAATAACAAAAATAATACATACTTAGAGCTTTTTAAAAGTTAACTTATGAGAAAAATCATACAGATATTAACAGCTTAATTGTAATTTTAAATAACAGAGTTTAGAATAATTTTCAGGTTTTGCATCAGAAATGTCTTTCAGTCATAAAACTTGTGGTTCATAAAACTTGCTTCAACATAATATCTGGGATTGTTTTTTAACGGCTTATTTAATTTTACAACGATTTTAATTTGACTGCATTTTTATCCACGTCTTTAGGAAATGTTTATGTAATTAGTATTCACAGCTGCTATAAAAATACTGTTACTTGAAGATGAAAATATATGTCTTAAATGATGACTTATTAGTAAGACAGTAAGATAGACTTTTCTATATGAGTATTTCTTCGCTACTTTCCTAGCCCAAAATTACATTTCGCACTGGAGATTGAGAACTTTTGTGTTATACTTGAGAAGTAATATAGTGTTATAGTTTTTGACAACCAGCAACGGTCTCGTGTTTTACATTCATAGATAAAGTATTGTTATAAATACTTAATAAATGACAAACTATTTTTTTCCCTACACCTTTGTATTCGGCGGCTTAAAATTTTCTGCAGAGTGAAGATAGGGAAATGAATTTTAAAAGACAATAAACCAATATTTCAGAACGTCTGTGCTATTGATGAAATACCAGAATTTGTGGGTTTTCCTTGGGAAAAACTAGCGGCATAAATGAAGCCGAAGAGAACTAAGAAAACTGAAAATTCCACTCATCCCTATAGTTTCTCAAATCGTGTCATTTTTTAAATGTCTTACATGTTCGATTTCCGACGACGAGAAACTTATTCGCTAAATAATGCAAGCTGAAATTCTTAATCACCGCTATATTTGCCAGATGCTAAATTTTTTTAAAAAAATATATTGGCGGGAGGGGGGTTGCAAATTAGCCGCTTTCTTCTTAGCATGTTTTTAAGTTTTAACTGACCAATAATTAAAATATCTTTAAAAATTTGTATTGAATTATTTATGAGTTTATTTATTTTTACTGACATAAAATCAGCATACCAATAATGAACTTTCCAATAACGCTTTTGTTTCAAAGTTATCAAATGAAAATTAATTTATCCGATCGGAAGAAATTTATGTGGAGATGTACTGCAGCAATTATACAAGAAGTCAGCTTTCAAAAGACTGATTATTGGATTTTGTCTTTCCAGTTTTATACAAAATGTAATTAATAAAACTTCCCCTTTCTCTTTCACCCGAGCGGATCGCTTTACGATTGACAAATTTCCTCTTCACACGAAAAAAAAAAAAAAGGAATACTGCATCAGTATTTATTTCTTCATCATTTAATAGGAGTTATGATGCAACTTATTTTCAACTTCTTAAACCATAACACTAATTTTTAAAATGATGCTCATTAATAAACTTTACACCAAAGCCATTTAAAATTTCTGTATTATAGCATCATATTTCTTTAAATTGGGCTACAAGAAACATCTGCTAGATAACAAGTTTGAATAACTTTTCCTAAAAGAAATAAAGATGTAACTCATTTACATTTCGATTAGAAATCACAAATTTATGATCATTGTAGCATTTGATTTTAAAAAATGTTATTTTTTAAGTTTTACTGTTAATTAAAAGAGTCATCGTAACTCCTATTAAATGATGAGGAAATAAATACTGATGCAGTATTACTTTTTTTTTTTTTTTTTCGTGTGAAGAGGAAATTTGTCAATCGTAAAGCGATCGCTCGGTGAAAGAGAAAGGAGAAGTTTTATTAATTACTGTTATGTAATTCAGCTTGTACTCGCCTTCCTAAATAAATAGCAAATTCCTCATTAACAGACTGCATCTCATCACTAAATCGCAATTAACAGCACCGCTCATTTCGGTGGCAAAGGCCTTTGTAAAATGCTACGAATATTATTAACCGGTTTTTTCAACAACTGAAATTCTTTTCTTACGTAATTAAGTTAGTACCGTCTTACTAAACAAAATATACCCACATTAATTTATTAATGCAGTAAACTAAATTTCAGAGGTAGTTGGTAATCAAATTAGTAACGTTAATAAAACAGAAATAATTGCCTAAGCCACGTTACCTTCGTGATTTACAATGATTACCTTTACTGTGTTACATTTATTTATTTAAGGTTTCTACAATCGTGTCGGTCCAAAATTTATGTGTCCAATTTTTGCTGCGTGTTACGTAAAATGAAATTGCAATGCGGAACCTGTTACTTCAGCATCGCTAAATCTTAACAGAATTACCAGATAAAGTAACAAAACAACAATTTTTAAGAACACTAATATAATAACGATTTTTTACGTTATTTTTTAACATCGGCTGTGAATAACAAATTTAACTAAACATTCCCGCAGAAACAAAGCTGATACGCATTGTTTACTGCAGCACGAACAAAAACTGCAATAACGCTCAGCTGAGCTACACGGGCAACGCCACGCAGTCTTACCTCCTTGTCAGCGTTGGCCCATGCAACTGTCATTCTGTGAGCACGTGCTCACCACCTTCGGAAGCATGCACTGTTCACGTGAACTTCTCACTCCGATTGGTTGCTGAAGCCGTGCCCTCGAAACACTCACGCACATTATTGGCTGAGAGGTGGCATGCCCACATGGTCAACTGAAATCTCCCTCTGTACACAAGCCGCTCTTGTTAATAAAAGTCGCCGTCAAAGCGGGAAACAACTTTTTCGTTAACTTTATATTACATTATACGAATGTTCAGCCGCTATGTCTAGTGTTACGTTTTCTCCTCCTTATACACCACCGCATTTATTAGCTGTAAGTACTAGAAAAAAATTAAATATAGCTCTTTGGATTATCTATGATTACGATGAATAAAAATTAGTGATTTTATGCTCTAAAAACACAAAGCTGACTGTTACCTGTCATAATAACGTGACGGTAACACGAAGCAAGGAATAAAATTTGAATAAGCCACTAACGATTTATCTTTTGCAGCTTTCTGATTCACTCTGCTATTTTTAATGCTCACTTTTTATTCATGTTTTCTCTCACGATTTGCCTTTCAGGTTTTTTTTTTTTTTTTTTTTTTTTTTTTTTAATAGTGCACACTGAATGCATTTACTGTGTAACATTTAATGCAGTATAATTTTTAATATAACCAGTTTTCTTTTGGAATGATTGTAGAGTATCACTAATATATTTCTTACAGCTGTTTTAAAATGCTTGTTTTTTAAAGTGGCAAATCTGTTCTTCGATTATAATAAACATATCTACTTTTATATTTGAATATTATTAATTCTAATTTATTTTCTAGTAATTTTGATGCCTACTTTAATGAAATTATGAGTACATCCTATAGCTATAATTAATGCTCATTTTAAAACTGACCTTCAAAATAAATATGTGAAATTTATTATAAATATTAATTAGTTATATGTGTAAAACATTTTCAGTTTCAATACCTGAACGTATTTATCGAGAAGAGTATATATTTATTTATGCTACAGAGTCATTTGAAAAGATCAAGTTTATTCATCAGATTATTGTAATACTTCTAAATATTAAAGCTGTCATAATTTCATAACCAAATGTTCATCTATGGATACACATTGATAAAATTTATAAATAATGCTAAAATTAATTCTCAGCGTATATTTCTAATGGAATTCTAATATTTTACTGTAAGAAAATAATTTGTGCATACTTCTCTTGAGTCCACTTTCCTGAACTAGAGGACAAAGTAACAACTTTAAAAATCACTGCTCCGTTTTTATACAACTGAGTACCTTCTGTCCAGAGTCCACTAATCTGCTTAGGTCTCTAATCTGCTTTAGAAAGTCTAAAATTTGCCTGATAAGAAAAAAGAGATAAAATGTGTTTCCTTGTATCAGTTTGACATCCTGAATGTTTAATGTACTTATCTAAAGTAAACAAGAGATTCTTATTCCATGTTTAGTTCAATCACAAAATGAAACATTAACTGATTTTACATTTTGAACTACAGTATCTAGATAACTGAATAATAACAGTGTAACTAAAAATCAGAATTCATTTAATTTGTGAAAAATCTTTCAAAAACAGAAAAATTCATTTCGTTATGTTTGTATACTCTAAAGAATAGTCATAATTGTAGCATATATATACTATTACACACATGTTAAATGCAGTATATATATCATAAATTCTGAATATATTGCAAGTAACTTCAAAATTATTCTCTAAAAGTAACTTTTTATTTCTTTAAATAAAATCACAAAATTTAGATATGATAAGAATAAATTTTTGTTTAACTGGTTACATAAATAAAAATGGAAAGATAATAATGATTCTTAATTTGTTTAATAATTCCATATTCATTATATGGGATTAATTAAGCCTATTGCTAAATTAAAAATATCAATAACTGTTCTATTATAATCTTTGCCGAGATTATAAACAAAGAATTCCACTACTATATACTATTATCTCTCTCTCTTTATTATGTTTACTCATATGAATTTTTTTATAAAATGTATGATAGCAAGACCTAGGCTTGCTGTCACATTTTATATAATATGGGGGATATCAAGGGGAGGCTTAAAACTTATAAAATGTATGACAGCAATTATACGTAAACCTCAGGTTTTAAGCCCCCCCTCAAAAAAAAAAGAAAGAAAAAGAAAAAAACCACTATGTAATTCCTTACAATCCGTATTTTCCTTCATAAAAAGAAGAAATGGACATATTGGAGGCTCTTGAAAGGGCCCAGATTATCTTAATTGAACCATGTGTATAACTAAATGTTTTGTTTACATAATATAATGGGATTTAATAGTTGAAAAATAATGACCATCTGACGACTTATAATAATAATAATAATAACTGCACAGCCTGATCTAGGGAGGGGGGATTTTTTTTTTTTTTAATTATCTTGCACATTTTGCCTCTATTTAAATATCTGGTTGTAATGAAAGTTTTCAGTCAAAAAAAAAAAAAAAAGTTCGTTGGGGGGGGGGAAAGCTAGCAGTACGTTTAGTGCAGGTAGAAATCACCACTCAAATCTATGATTTTCTGCCAACGTTTTGGTAGTTTTTCAAAGCCTTCGGGCCCAGAAACGTGGGGGGCCACGAGTCCAAAAACACATCAACCTCTTTTCAGACATCCTGTGCAAAATGTAACTGCGGGTGTGAAAAAGGTAGAAGTCGAAGGAGCTATGTTGGGGTTATATGGTGAGTGTGGGATAAGATCCCATTCGAGTCCGTACAGAGTCCAGATGGTAAATGCAGACACATGAGGTCTTGCATTACCTTGATGGAACATTACCTTTTGTGTGTCGAAACTCAGTTCAATGTTTTCCCTTGATAACAGCATTAATACGAACTAGCGTCTCGCTGCACACCTTACTGTCAATGGTTTTACTCTCTTCCAGATATCTTTATGGATAATACCAGGACAGTCCCACCGCATACAAAGCATTATTATTATTATTATTATTTTGTTAAACAAATTGTGCTTTGCAACACTGCTGACGAGCTCACCGGGCACAGATGAACCTTCTTTTCGGCCTGTTGTTGTTAACGTAAACCTACTTTTCATCACAAGTGATGATCCAGTTCAAAATTTTGTCCTTGCATCTCTTCGAGCAGATTAGTGCAGGCCCGAATATGCCTGTCCTCATCTGCTTGAGTCAGCTCGTGCGGCACCCAGCAATTGAACTTGTGTGTCAAGTTTATGCAATGCATAGCATGACTAATGGAGACATGAGACTAAAGTCTAACTTAGCAAGCTCTCGAATGGTTGCATACCTGATCTTCTTCCATAAGTTTTCACAGGCTGGCCTTATCAACATCAGTAGGTCGGCAAGAGCACTCTGCTTCTTGAATGTCATAGTCCTTGTTTTTGAACTTTCGGTACTAAACCTTCACTATGTTATATGATACAAGATTAGTATCTAAAGCTATATACATGATTTGGTGGCATTCTATAGCTGACTTTTTTCAACAGAACTGGAAGTAAACGGTGGTTTAATCTGGTAGTGTTGATAGTTCCATTTCAGACACCTTGTAGTTAATGATAACGATATTTTTTTACAAATTTCACAACACAGTGTTCTAAATGACTAATGGAGACATGAGACTATAGTCTAACTTAGCAAGCTCTCGAATGGTTGCATACCTGATCTTCTTCCATAAGTTTTCACAGGCTGGCCTTATCAATATCAGTAGGTCGGCAAGAGCACTCTGCTTCTTGAATGTCATAGTCCTTGTTTTTGAACTTTCGGTACTAAACCTTCACTATGTTATATGATACAAGATTAGTATCTAAAGCTATATACATGATTTGGTGGCATTCTATAGCTGACTTTTTTCAACAGAACTGGAAGTAAACGGTGGTTTAATCTGGTAGTGTTGATAGTTCCATTTCAGACACCTTGTAGTTAATGATAACAATATTTTTTTACAAATTTCACAACACAGTGTTCTAAAGCAAGTCTCTTTCTTTCAAATGCCAAAAATCATTTGACAAAATATTATTAAATATGCCAATGCAAACTGTTTGTGCAGACAATTTTATTTTTAATTAGTGTTTAATTTTTATTTATTTATGAACTGAAACCTTTCGTTGTGTCCACCTTTCCTAGTTTGTGTCATAACAATCCCGATTTTTTTTGTTACATATGTGCCAGTTTTATCATTCCCAGTCAAAGGACAAACATCAGTATATTTGTCACGCAAGCCATTCTGCCTTTTTAAAGTGAAATATGTGATCAAGATAAATCAGAAGTCCCTCACAAAGTGTGCAAGCTGTGTGTCGAGAGTTTATGGGTGGATGAAGGAAATGTGTTCAAATTTCCATACCTGTAATTTTGTAAAAGCCCAAAGATTACTCAAGTGATTTTTACTTTTATATAGTGAAAATGCCAGGATATAACAAGAAAAACAAATGTAAAATACAGTATCATAGTTGACCATTACCTATGCCTACAGCTTCAGTGACTCCCAATGCCAGTTTTCAAAGAATTACTCTCTTTAGAAATACAGGACTACAAATTCTGGTGAATATTGAATTGACCCTAATGATGAAGATGATTCTGTTCATAAGGAATTTGACTAGCATGAGTTGAATGATTTGAGACTATCCAAAACAGCTTCTTCATTCACCTACATTTTCATGTTTTTTGGGGGAGAGGAGGGAGAAAATTGTGGGAAATTACAGGATGATTTTAGGCTTTCAGAAGTCTGGGACTTAAGCCTGGATTGTGTGAGGCTATGAAATAATCAGTGGCAGCTCATGCACTGCAAATGTTTATTGCAGTTTTCCCATATGAAATTTCAATCTATGCATATAACTTCCGAGGCAGTTTCATAACAGTATATGACTACATGACATATTTTAAAACATGACTTATTTTAAAAACTTGACAATGCAGAACAACTGCTGCTTTCTTAAGTCTTGTTTAACAAATGAGCAAAAACGTTTTGATTGTGCTGTATACTCTGCAGCCTTTGCAAAACTGTGCAATACATTTGAAACAGCCCTCATATTTCATCACTTCAAAATACAAATTATCATTAGAAATACATTAGAAAAATTATAGAACTTTTGTTCTATGGTTATAATGTACTTTAAAAGAAAACTTTCTAAACACTTTTCTGTTTAAAAGTATTAAGTAAAATGCTTATAAATTTCTCTCAATTCAATATCATATGTATCAATGGATTTTTTTAATATTTTGTCCACAGGATAACCTTCCACTGATAAGTCAATCAAGTTCTGCCTTAGATAATCCAGATTTTGATGCTGTGCAAACATTATTGTATATGAGTGGACAACAATCAAAAGAACAATTTTGTGAATCCCCTAATTCCAAGAATCTTCGTCATCATGTGGATCTTACACCATTTCAATCAGAAGATGAAATGGAAGATATTAATTCAAGAGCTCCAGCACAAGAATCGGAACTAGCAAGAGTAAGTTCAATATATAGTTATCCAGAATTATATAATATAATTTGCTTAAAATTGAAAAACAATCATTCTTTCATAGCATTATTTTAATCAGAATACACCTATGGACTTGCATACATGAAAAGGACAAAATATTATTTTAATCTATCTACATTTTTTGATTAGAGAAACATCCCATTAGGTTTATTTATAAAGATGGAAAGTGTGTATATATACATTTTCCTTCACACAACTAATGTTGACCTTATCTAATATTGCATTGACTAGTAATTAAGCTGTATGAAATTTTAATGTATATTCCATTACTAATGAATGCCTAGTTCTACATAATAATTAATGTAAGACTATCCAACTCATCTTGAGATTTAAAAACCATTTTCATAATTAAGAATGTTAGAATATTTTTCACTCTTTGTGGTCATGTAGGATAAAATTCTTTGATATCAAATGCTGCTCTGCACAAATTTGTATAATTTAAGCCAGCCATTTGATTTTTTGAATTGATCCAGATAATAACTTTCAAGATATGTATAATTTCTTCTTCAAGTTTATGAAACACATGGTGGTGGGGGGGGAATTAACATCTTTATAAACTGAAGAATCAGTTGTCGCCCCTTTGTTATTTGAAGGGCTGAATTCAGAAAGATGTAAATTTATTTATTGGGATATACTGTTGAAATTGTATTATACATGAAACTGTATTTGTCTTTGAAATATTCAGTTGTTTGTTGGAACAAAAACAGACTGGAACAATTACCCATGGGAAATTTGTATTTAAAACAATTCTACACTGAGCTTTCGTTAAAACGAGAGGGCCTAACAAAATAGTAGAAATCGACAAAACCACTTTTACAAAGTGAGTTGAATACTAATGATTTATTAAATGAAGAGGTATCAGTTCCTTCAGAATTCCACAGGAACGAATGCTAAAATTCTGATGTATCATTGTCAGTTTTCATGGTCAATGGAATAATACGTCAGTATTAAATATTAATTAGCTAAATAAAATTTTAAAACTTTCCTAATCTGGTATATATGAATAATTATATCTCTATATTTCTTTCATACTATGATATATACCTCAGGTCAGGTGAACATACATCTAGCATATATAAATTTAATTATTAATTTACTTTTTTAAATTTTGAGAAAGGTTTTATCCTATTTGTGGTGATGTTATAATATGATAACACATCTCATTATACTTCATATTTTATTCATATTATATTTCAGAATGGAAAGATTTTGATCTAGTATATTGTTTTCTATATGGAGGAGAATCTTCATATAAAAGATAATTTTCAAAACAAACAGTCAAAAGGAAGAATGGAGAAATAATTTCTGTAGCTTTCGAAATCACAGATTTAACAATATTTTTATAGCTTTTCCAACATCAGTATTTTGACATAAAACTGTAAAAAATGATTCCAAATTTTTCTGAAATGATATATCATTTTGTATCCATATTTTGATTGCATGGCTCAAATTATGTCAAAGTGACAAGTTTTGTAAAAATTGCACGAGTAGTTTTTAAAAAATTAGTTCTGAAAATTTTAGCTCCTCAATGTTCATTGAATTTGGTACATATTTATTAATCTCACTTTTTTTTTATTAAACATAATTGATTCCTTCTTCAGTTTGAAATTTAGGTTATATCTAAATAAAATTCAGAGATATTTTCTTTATTTTTAAAATTTTTTATTTTGTACTCAATATGTCCCAATATATATGTGAATTTATATATTTAGCATGTTTTGAAATTTGGCATATTTGCTATAAACGATAAAAATGTCAAATGTGCTTTACACACTTTGTTAAAATTATTTGAAAGAATGAAGAGAGAATGCTCATGCTCAATGAAAAAAGGGAAAGGAAAAGAAGCTACTATAATTTTTAAAAATTTTTCCAAGTTTCTCACCAAATTTTACAAAATTTAGTATTTAGGCCTAATTTGAGTCGTAGAATTAAAAGATTGAAAAAAATAGGTAAGGCATTTCAGAATTTTGTGTCAGAATACCTATGTATATGTCCTAAGTTGCATTTTCGAGACATAAAAAATGGAAGTTAAATTTAGTCGATGGGTCGAGTAAAATGAGAGGTATAAAACTGGCCCCCCTTTTTTTGTGTATGTATGTGTGCAAGTTGTACCTCTTTTACAAAGTAAATTTCATTCTGTATGATGAAAGTGTAAATTTTCAATTATTTTCAGCCACTGTTAAAATTATTAAAAATCGCTAACAGAAATCTGCTTGCTATGATGATCTGACTTAAAGTTTTTAATGAAAATGACTTTTAAAATAGATTTTTAACAAAATTTTTGTACTGAAAATGTTGCATTCAATTTCTGCAAGTATATAATTATTTGAAAATTTATAATTTTTCTTTTTTTCTTCCTCCCCAGCTATTACTTACAAATACACCTCCTTCAACTCCAGTTCCTCCTGTGACAGGTATGCCTGTATCAGTTATTGTCAGAGCACCTCCTAGTTCAGCAAATTCTGAAACTTCACAGATAAATCAATCACCTGAGTCATCTCTGCAAGGGCAGTCCAAAGATGATTCCAATTCAAAAAATACAAATATTGAGAACTCTCCAGTTTCTCAAGCAGAAACACATATTCCAGTAGCAGCTACATGGCCCAAGGTAACACCAGTTGCAACAGTGCTGCCCATTAGAGCAGTGGACAATATTCCATGCAGCACTGCATATGTTACACCAATTGCAAAACCTATTACCATTGCACCAAAATTGTCAACTTCTACAGTTCTTATTCCAGCTGTCACAAATCTAAACCCTTGTTCTTCACCAGCAGCTCAAACATTAATACTGACTCCTGTTCCACAATCACAATCAACAAATATTTTATCATCTGGTTCATCACTTATGCAATTGGTTGTAACATCATCTCCATCTTTAGTGAGTAACGTGTTGTCATATTCTGTCCAAGAGCGCCAAAGACTATTAGCTCCAGCTCCTTTATTACTAACAGCACCAACAAAAAGCCATAATATACCTGTTGATAATCGCAAAAGAACATACCAGTGCAATTTTCCAAACTGCATGAAGACTTACTTCAAGAGTTCACATCTAAAAGCCCACTTCAGAACACATACAGGTAAAAATATTATTATTAATAAATTTCAGTCATTTAATGAACTTACTCTATTTTAATTAAAGATAAGAAAATTATCATATGCTAAACTAGAAATGCTACAATTTTTCATAGCTTTTAATACACAACTGCTGCAGAGTTTCATGATTCACAAAATATTATCTTTAGTTTCCAAAATAATGTTTTTTATTATTATTGCTAAATACTTTGAAGTAAAGTTATCAATAAAAAATGTGTTTAAGTGTAAAAATGCTATTTATGTCTTCCTTAAAAATTCAAGAAAAATTATTTTTACTTAGGTTTATTTTTTTACTCACAAGATGCTAAATTTTAACTATTTTGTAAGGAATAAATTTATTTGCTAGATTAATATAACCTATATTACGTAGTAATTGATTTATTATTTACTGCATCACTTTCCAAAAATGTTCTTTCCCTCAGCTATTTTAAGAAGTTTAAAGAACAATGATATTATTTGGACTTTTCAATATTATTTATTTGGACTTAGAGCTGAATGATATTATTTGACTTTACACAGTATTATTTATTTGGACTTAATTCTTCATCTGGACTTAAGACAGCTGTTGGATTTCATTTTTAAAAAAATGTTTATGTTTATACGTGTGTGTGTAGACAGACAGATATATAAACATATAATTGTATTTTACATACATGTATATGTGTAAAACACTTTTCTCCCTCTATTTTCAGGTGAAAAGCCATTTGCGTGCACATGGGAAAACTGCAACAGGAAGTTCTCCAGATCTGATGAACTTTCACGTCATAAACGCACACATACCGGAGAGAAAAAGTTTGTGTGTTCTGTATGTAATCGAAAATTTATGCGTAGTGATCATTTAGCAAAGCATGTGAAGCGTCACACAACGGGTAGATTATCAAATGTAAAATACTCCAAAGCTTTACTACATAAGTCAGACTCGAAGTCAGATATTTTACCTGACCACTGCTCTCTGTCACTTACTCCTTCTCTACTTCAAGTCATCATCCCAGCTGCACAGTGATTGCATTTGTATAAATAAATATTATGAATAAGAACATTTATACTTAAATGTCTATGTGTAATAATCCTTAATAAACCATTGTATTTTCACCGACTAAAGAATATTATGTATGCAACAAACGTGATGTTTGTTGTATACAGTAACTTTTTTCTTTGGTATAAAATTATAACTTAAGATAATTTTCAAGCTATCACTAGTTTATATTTTAATTTGATCAGTAAATTTGAAGGCAGTTTAAACATTTGGCCATCCGACATTATGGAATTCCAACACTGTGTAAATACCTGAAATCTTTGTTTACATAGCTTTAAACAAAAAATTTTTAAATATTAAACTAAGTAAGTCATTTCATATTATGTAAACAAACTGTTAATTATCTAAACTGTCTCTGTATTATTCTCTTAATATTAAACTGCATTCTGCTGTTAACATTAAACAACTAAAATTCCCTCCAGTAGTTTTGCCTAACCTAGAAAATTATACAGTTATTAAAGATATGTATTGATAATAATTCGCTTTATTATAATATGTTAGTATGCAAAGCCTGGTATGCAAAAAATTTTTGTTCTAAGAAGGTAATGCAGACCACTGGAAAATGCAATGGTTTAAAATTACGGATGTTGTGTATATTAAAACTGTGATAATTTTTAAACACTTTTCTGCAATGTGCTTAATTTTAAAATTTGCTATACTTTCTTAATAATATTAAGGTTAGGAATATTATGCTTGAGAGAAGAAAATATTTTTTCTGTGTGGAAATATCCATTTGTGTTTGCTTAAAATGGTGCAAGTTTTGTTACTATAAAACTTGATCTTATCTAAGAGCTTTAAAATGTCGAAATCGAGATAATAAATTAGAATTTACTAACTTAATAAATAATTTTTGAAATAGAGTAATATTTATTAAAATTTATTATCTTTTTAAGTTTGCATGTGAACATAACTTTTCATGTCACATAGGCAAGTGTAGTAGAATTGTATAAGTAGTGTTTTATGTAATGATTCCTCTGAGTGCCAACTTAACTTTTCAAGTATCCATGTTGTTTTCATTGAATTCATATTAAAAGAATTGGATTCTAATTTATCTATCTGATCTCTATTCTAATCTCAATTTTCTTGCAGAATAAAATATTTTTCTATAAAATGTAAGGAATATGGGTACTTTATTAGTGAAACCACCTTAATAGAAGTCGCCAAATTTTCAGAATGTGCCAAAACTCTGTCATCCACGTGCATAATAGTTTTTCAGCCAATCATACGCATAACAATTTTCAGTCAAGCAGCATAGCCATTTTCTTATGCATTCTATTTATTCTATTCCAAGTTTCAAAAATTTTTATAGGCAAACTGCAATATTTGTTGCATTCAGCTCATTTTTAAAATTTGCACATATGGAATTTGCCAGCAATGGAAAAAAACTGCCATAAAATTTCTGCAGAAATTGCGTATTTCACTACAGAATTATTAAAAGCAAACACAATACAATGTTCCCCAGAACAAAATAAAAAAACAGCTTGTAAATAGATTAATTGATTGATATCTGGGATAAATATCTTATTGGAATATAATAAGTATTTTTCAAATGAATTGAATAATGACTATATGTTATTATTTTTCATCTTATTTTCATCATTTTTTTCAAAAAGTCACCAAATTGCATTAAGGTGGTTACATTAATACGCAAGTACCAGAATATGTGATAGAAAATAAAAATTAAAGATAACATAATTAATATAATTAAATAGTGTGTTCTGTATGTAATAATATATAATAACTTTATAACGTTTTCAGCTAAGATACATTTTCTTAAAGTACATTAAATATTCAAAAAAATAAGTCATTTTTTATACCTATAGGCATAAAAAATTTCTTTTATTATATATATATATATATATATATATATTATATTTCAGAGCTTAGTTATGTGCTCTGCTTGTAAGTTAAAAGATATTTATAGTTGAGTTTAAACTTATAAATTTCTTTTCATTTCTTACAAATTAAAAATGTGATTGTGAGTGGAATTACATAATAATTTAAGTTTCATTTGCATTGTAAAGAAGTTATGTAAATAGTTTTAAACACCGAAAATGTGAATAATCTCATCTGTAACATATTCATATAAAATAAATTAACTGTTTTATTGTCTTTTTAGTTTTATCTCATTTCTTGATATTTTTGTCATGTATAATTTGTGATTGAGTCTGCAGGTATTTTAAAATATTAATATAGAACCCAGGTTATTTCTTAACTAACAGAACTATACAACAAATAAGAAAAATGATTAAATGAGCTAATACAACCTAAGTATTATTTTTTTAAGGAAAAAAAATGGTATTGGATGATAAAAAAAATTTGACAGACAACAAAATGTTATGTATCATTAAATAAAAAAAAGCAAAATGCATTAATAACAAGAGATATGTTTTACAACTTATAACATTCAGTTAAAAGTTTTATTTATTTATTTATTTTTTTATTTAAGAACTCAGGTTCCATAAACCTTCATGACTTCTTAGACACTTCATATTTGGATTTACATTTTTCTCTGCCCTACAAAATGCTATATATTAAGTGCACCATCCATAAGCATAATTACTTCTCACAGTTTTGCAATTTTTGTTAAGTATATTATACTACAGACTTTTATATTTAGAAATGGAAATTTTTAAAATTTTTTTTTCTAATGTTCATACATTTGCAATGAGGAATGATATTTGTTAATGTATAGAGGAAAAAAAAAAAAAAAAAAACCTTAGGCAAAAAAGAATACTTGTATGTTTATCACAAAATAAAATTTCCTTCGTTTCATACAAAAAATGTTTCAGAACTTGTTTTCTTAGTTTTTATTTACATTTGTTCCAAAAACAAAAATTATAGTCTTTAAAATTCGAAATGAATATTTTTAGCCATATTGTGAAAACAAAAATTGATATTGTTCAAAATACACACTATTTTATAAGCGTTTATTTACTTTCTTGTCTGAATAACACCCAGATTAAAGTTATCTCAACATCTGCTAGCTATATTTAATCTGCTAAATTAAAATACTATTTGTAGCTCGTAATTTTGATACTTACTTACCGAAAGATCAGACATTCAGTTTTTATGATCAATGATATGGCTTAGATTTCCATTTTTTCAGTTTACTTGCATTTGGCTAAATTAATTTCGTTATTTCCCTTTCACGACGTGTAATGGTGTAACTACGTAATAAATGCGAATCTAAAACCCGATTTTTAACCATCAAATATCCAATAGATGGCGCTACTTTTCATTCAATGGAATTATGACCTTCTTAGTACCACGCATGGAGGTAGGAAGTAAGAAGGAGTCGCCCTAAACAAGTTTCTCCGTATCCTGCTCTGAAGCACCGGCGATCCCTACGTGGTGACCAAAACATTGGGTCATTTACCATTGAGTTCTATGGGATTTGACGCGTTCGGGTGTAAATATTTTGTAATTGCGTAGCAAATATACATATAAATGTATATATTTTCTTTTTCTACAACACTTCAGAGTCCTAAGTATTTGAAAAAAACATATTTTTAAACAACATTTCATTCTGAACGGAATTAAATGCTATACTTTTCACAGGACAGTTTTCTCAGAATGGTTTAATTTGAATGAAATATTTTCACAAGTTTTCGTTAATTACATTAGAAAATAAATTAAGGTAATTCGATTTTATTCGGTTAAGGTACAAAAATTAAGATCAAACTTTATTGTATTATTAATATTAAAATTATGCATTATTTGTTTTCTATTTATAGAGCTTCTTCCTAAAATACTTTCTTAAAATATGACATGATTTTTTGGCTTCTTTTAAATCGAAAAATGTAAGTCAATTTATAATTAATGCTCTATTTCGGTTCATTTTAAATTAGAGCATTTTTTATTTTAGGATATTAGCGAAATACGTTAAATATTAATGTTCATTTTCACATACTTAACTTTCTCTGAACATTTCTGAAAGGGAATGAAAAATAAGCTTTTTTTTTTTTTTAAAGTATTATTTAAAACTTGTAATTGAGTTATTATAAAATGTAAAGGGAATAATAATTTTAATTAATACTTATCAGATTTTTTTTTTTTTACCCTTAATTTCAACAATACATATTCTAAAACTCTTCTATTACGTACTTTTTGAAGTACGCATCTCATAAAGCATTTGCTTTACAATACCTTTTAACAAGATTGCTTTCCAATACGAACAATTCTTGCTTAAATAGTTTTATAAACGTATTTGTCAAACAGGATTTCAATTTAATGTTTACAATTCAATATTAAGGTTATTATATATTTAGATAACAATTATAATCATTATAAATTTAGATACATTTAATCATTAGATTTCTTCACAGTTACTTTCACTGGTTGTTTATAAGTGAATAAATTCTTCATTTCAAATACATTTATAAATAATTTACATGAATATTTAAGTATTTTGTCAAAGACAGATACATGCTTTTTCGCAAGCACATGCATAAGTACCCATACATATTTCCTATTTTATCATGTTCCGGCGTGTGCAAACTCTTTAATTTCTGTGCAGTCACTATATTTTTCGTGTAAGAAGTAATTTACAACTAATTTAGCATACATTCCCGAAACTTTTTACAAAAAAAAATATATGAATATAATTTGAATGAAAATTATAAGTATTATTTTTAATACCCACTCAAAGGTCAGTTTTTTCTTCAAAATTCCTCCACGATGGCATCTCTCTCTTTAGGCAGATAGCCCTTGCATGCGTCACTCTATTTAATTAAAAACTTAATTCTGACCTATGTGCCTAATTACAAATATTTTAACATACATAATTTTATATTTACATTTAGCCATCAAGTTTCAAACTTTTCAAATCTTCTAGAAAATAAATTTTGGCTGATCTCTTTTAGCAATTTTCTTAAAATCTATATTTTTGTAGTGCAACAGCTTAGAATTTTATAAAACAAATTCATAATCAAAATCGCTGTTGTTAGTTATCGAAAAATAACCAAGATATGATTTTTGCGTAAATGACAGTAAACTGTACAAATTGCTATTATCCATCACACTATGAATGTTTCTTTCATGCGAGAGTGTCCCTTTTTCGATGTCTATGGAACTGTCGTGTGTCGAAATACTACTATCAGAATCTTGTCAAGCGAGCTTCTGAATGTAAACAAAGAACACCCCGCCTGGTGACCCAAGCTTCAAAGCAGTGCTTCACTTCTAGCGCGAAATGGCCCCTCCTCCCTTTCCTACCTCTATGGTACCACGGTAGGGAATTCAGTGATTTCCTCCTCCCGGACCATTGATGCGGTTTATTTCAAGTATTTTCTTCTTCGAGTAGTGTATTCACTCGCGTATTACATGTTTTTTCTTTACTCTTTTATCATAGGAACATATGCAAATAATTTAATTTCCGAAAGATGAGATTACTGTTGCAAACTGCATCTTTACATTCCCCCAATCTAATATGTGAGCGAGAGTATAAACATAATCTTGTAGTTTTAATTATATTTCACTTACGTTCTAATGGCAACAGGTCGAATTCTTCTCCCGTTAGTTCCATGGAGGTTAGAATAGAATTTTAAAATGAAGTTAGTTTTGGGTTAAAAGTTGTGTGAATAATGTTTATCGAGAGCAAGATAGCTTTAATTTTTATAGTAATTTTTTAGCTGGACTGTAGAGTATGCATACTAGAAAAATATTATAAACTTATTTATTGAATAATTTAGATTTTATGAAAATTTCTAGAAATGTTATATATTCATCTGAGGAGATGTAAATCATTCTCATTCGTGATCGTCTTCAAATAAACTTATGTGAATTTCGTGAGTGAAATGTTTCTTCTGCTGTATATTCAGAAGGCATCTTCACTTAACAATCCTATACACATCATAGTAAGTTGAACAGCAAATTAACTAATTCCTACGGTAACTCAATCTTTAATTCAGCCAATCGGATTAAACTCACCATTGCAACTCAACCACTCCAACCAAGGCCAACTAGATATTTAGTTGCTCCAACACGCTATAGCACTAGGACGGCTAATGTTATCCACTTTTTCCTAATCAGAAATATCGACTCCGACTTATATTGCAAGTGAAGATGAGCTCTCATCTGACTATAATTCAGTTATTATTAAGAATACTGCAATCAGTCACTATAGCACACCACTCAAAAGAGCCCGTATAACCAATTGGTATAAGGGCTCTTTCAATATACACTAAAGCTCTGAACACTCAGTACACTAAACCCGCAATACAATCAGGGAATGAGTTAGATGACTTACTTGAAGAACTCCACACTGCCTTAAAAAGTAACAGCAAACAGGTTCCTGCCCTTCGCGGGAACCTGTTTGCTGGTTCCTGCGAAGGGCAAGTAATCGATGGGGAGATTCTGCCATTCGCAACTTAACCAACAATGAAACGCTGCTCGACGAACCTGGCAAAGAACGGGGTATCCTGAGGACAAGTTAATATAAATCGGCTGCACAATGAAATCAGGTCTCTTACCAGAAAACACGCACAGGACAACTGGACCAGATAGCTGAAGTTTTTATCCCAGGATGATAATTCTATCTGGGAAGAAGTATCTAGCTATAAAAGATGCCACACTAATATTCCGCCCCTTAATGGCCAAACGGATCGCACGCACTAAACCTGAGAAAGCTGAGTCTCTTGCAAATCACTACACTTCTCAATTCACCAGCAACAACATAACATTATTCAAGTTATTATTCAAATCCACACGGAAACAACATAATCCTAGTTAAGTTTTCAGAGGTACTGATTTAGATCGAGGGATGAAAACCAGAAAGAGCCCTCACAATGACCGGTCTAGCAACAGGAGGCCCGGTCATGCTTGTAAATTTACCGATATCATCTAGCTGCTCAAACGTAGTGTGTTTGGGATTCGAACTCGGGCTACGCGGTATGGCAGCCATGCATACAAACGCAAATAAATTATTTTTAAATCTCATATAAGTTTACGCTTTTTTCAAACCATTTCACCTTAAATAAATGCCTGATTTAAGAAAATATTATCAAATAATAGAATAAGTCCCGACTTTTGGCGAATCCTCTGTAAAGGACTATCCTCTAGGAATTTTGGCATTAAATTGATTTATTCATGTTACTCACAGATAGCAGCTAATGTTGCAGAATTTTTACTGAGAATATATCCGGCAGTCCTTGTACTGCTGCCAAATTTTTTTCCAGCAAGTTAGTTAATATTTCAGGAGGAAAGGATTGCATTACAAAATCGCAATGCCTGGCAACGGCTTTTAACCGATTGTCATAATAATACGACAGAGAGTATAAAGTATTGTTAGAAATTTGTATTAAATTTTGAGAGCCATGGTTTAATAAAGTATTGGTAACATTTACTTTACGAGTACTAGAATTGTTCCTTAAAGTACTATTGATTTGCACAAAAGGGTGAGTATATAAAAAAACTTCTACATCGCTACACCCTCCGCTGGGAGGAATGGGTAATCCTATTTAAAGTATTTAGTGCAGATTGAATAGGATCATGGTTTGTTCACAGCATTTGACTGTTTCATATAAAAATAAATGTTCATTTTCAGTAAAGAGCTTATCATTGGTTTATTTTGGGTTCATGACATGTAACCGAACCGTATGTGTTATATTTTGTAATTTCTGAAATAATCAAATTATCGTAAATAATCGGTGTTTGGGTTCTTAGTATATTAATAAAAATTCTTAATGCTGAAGCCAGTAACGTACTATTTTACAGAATATTATGAATTTTTGGTATATTACATACATATATTTGGTACAATAGATTGTAGTACGTGCTTAGTAGTTAAGTAGTGTCTGAAAACGTTGCATATGGCCTATACTCCCAGAGTAAGTTTCAGAATGTAATGATTTTATTATTATGTGCAAGATTATATAACGATTGGAAATAATAAAGTTAAAAACGTGATTCTTAAACAGATTTTTGTGTTATTTCTTAAAATGAATTTTTTTAATACTTAACTCTGGTTGATCTTTGGATTATGGTAACTTGGCGAAAATTTGGCGACCAACTCTGCTACAGCAATCATCTATTTTTTTTTTTTTTTTTCCGCCACCATTTTGTCTTCATGAAGTAAAGACATGTTTCTTTTCTTTTTATTTACTGAACACTTTTTCCAACAATCTACTAGCCAAATTACACTTATACTAGAAATTTTATCTAACAAAACTGCCTAATCATGACAAATATTCACTGCAAAATTGGGAAAAAGTGCACAATCGCAAACTCCTTGCGCGTTTTTCACAATAACACATACACATAAACAATAAGTCGTATAACACATACGACTTATTTTTACTTCAAAAAGCATCCCAGAATTGCACAAAAATGGCATGTTGCACCTCTTCCTATATCCATGTACAGTGCTTTTTCTATAAATTAGAAAATTTCACAAAATGCATGAAAATACTCAACGTATACTACTCAAACATATTCCAAAATACTAAAAACATATAACTCACAAATCAGATCATTAAATTAAAATATAATTAAATTAAAAACACTACTTAAAATATAAATAAGCACATACATTCAATTAATAAAAATTAGATTACAATCCTAATTATTTTAAACTAAATCATTGCTAATAACAATTTTCAAATAATACCATTTTAATTTATTTACTCCTTACATTTAGAACAATGCATAAAAATAATATCCTCAAATCATTAAAAATACTAACTTACCTAATCTTCTTCAGAGTCTTCATTACGTCGCTGCAGTACTACTGCTAATTTCTAAATCCTAAATCCAATAGTCAACTGGAAGTCTATTCACCAAGTAATAAGAAATTAATAAAATTTCACCTATACTCAAACTACTTTCAGCAAACCACGTACCCTTCCTTACATTTTCACCATATTTCTTGCACCGCCATTTAAACTTGTAATATCCTTCCTTTCACACAATCTCAACTTATTATTATTATCAGATAAACACATTAAAAATTTAGAATTCACTTTACATAGCGCCATGCAATCCGAAAATTAATCAACACTATTTCACACAACACACAATGAAGCTTTTCCAAATTAACCCCCTTTTCCGATTAAAGAATGTAATTCATCCATTAATGTCACATGACATATCTCATGATCTCTCATTTCCCTCACACAAAATAATGCGTAATCGGAACTGAGTGCTTCTCACATTATTACCAAAGTCCTAGGTAGCAACCTTTATCGCCTCCAAAATGTCGCCAAACTACCAGTTTCCATATTCCAAAGATCAGCCTTAACTCTAACTATTGAAAAATTGTGTATATTATGCGCGTATGTGTAGGAACTATTAACAGCAAACTCCCAATGCGATTGTGTCTTAGGTATTATTTTAGAACTTGTTTCCAAAATTATCTGAATGCATTATAGTATTTATGGTGTCATTTTTTATGTAATTTTAGTGAATGAAATTATAAAGAATATATTAAAAAAATAGAAAATATATTAATAAAAAATAACTTGATGGAACTCAAATTTGTAATAAGTATTTAATGGAATTGAAGAGTCTATTTGAATAATGGTATAATAGCAAAATTTGATAAATAATAATATGCCCTGTTATTGTCTTATTTACAATAGGCTTACCAGTGACTAATCATGGTTGGAATAGCATATTTATGTCCTAGTGACAGAATAAGCAGAGTGTATCAGTAGTTCGTAATTTTGTGGATCTCTGATAGAAATTACATTTAAGGGTACTTATGTATTATCGTGCCAACTGGCTAAGTAGCACCTATTATGGATGACCGTGACCTTTAAAAATCTGCTGTAATGATTGGTGACCATTTCCAAAATTTCTGCCAACAGATATATGGGATAATATGTTAGTACCTATTTAAGTTTCTCTTTAAGACTGTTTGAAGTTAGCTTCTTGATGACTTGTTTTTCATAAGTAATTGATTGAGTTACAATTCATAAGTAATTGCTAATTTTTAGTGCGTTTAATAAAAGGCTGTACTCAAAATTTTAAAAGCAAGAAACTGCACAATCTGTTTTCTTTGAGATACTGCAAATTAAACTGTGATCAGTTAAAAGTCTTTCTCTGCCTTTTCATCCAGGGTTTACTATATTCATTTGGAAATGAAATAAAAATTCATGTAAATGCAGAATGTTTTCTGTATGAGTCAAAGTTCCTTGTTTACCATAGCTGCAGTAATCAGATGTGCCGTCTTACATGGGACAGTCCTGCATTTCACCACAGTAAACTTACAGTAACTTTAGGATATGCTCTAGAAAATATTCAGATATGTCTGTAAATATTCCCAGATTTTGTAAATGTAATTTACACAACTTTTTTCTAGTGGTGCTCCACACTATTAGTCATGAAGATATTTTTCTGGAATCAGAAATGTATCCAATAAATCTGTTTTTCTAGCTATATATTTTAAGGAACCTATGAAGTTCACACACATATACACAAACACACGCAAACAAAACAAAATTTCTGGGTTTCTATGTGAGCTGCATTTCATACTTGGAAATGGATTGTTAAATCTTGCAAAAATCTCAAATACAGTACTCTCTGCTTTATAAACTGAGATATTTTTTCTCTGACCTTTATAAGCTTTTTAATCAGTCAAGAGAAGCTTCTCGTAATTTCTCGAGGTTTCTGGAAAGCAAAAGAGTAGAATTACAGTTACATCTTAACACACAGTTGCATTATTTCAATTTAATTATAAATTATGATGTATCTATTTATAGAACTACTTTTATATATGCCCTCGCTTGGCGACTTGGTGAGAAACTCCATGGTGCCATATTACTATCTAAGTTTTTTATCTACGTTTCGAACTTTAAGCCTAAAATGTCTCCAAAAACGCGGTTTTCGCACATGCAAAAACCACGTTTTAAACACACAATTTAAGCTAAAAATCCGAAACAAAAACAAAAAAATTAGATAGCAAAAATGTAAAGTTTCTAACTAAAAATATTTAACAGGAATCTATGTACACAGCGATATGTTTTAACTTAAAAAAACATCTACAAGTTGCACAATCTTGACAGCGAAGGAATCTATGAACTACGCACACCTTGCTTTAATAAATTAACATAACAACAATAAATTTAAAAAATACCATGCACACAGCATTCTGTTTAAACTTAAAAAAAATCTAAAAATTGCACAATCTAGGCATTGTGCACAAATCAACAAAATAAACTAAAATAAATTACAAACAATTCAAATAACAGCAGAAATTTATAGTAAAGAACAATGAACGTAACGTTCTACAAAATAAAAACAATAAAGTAAAATGCACTTACCATAATGGATGCTTCTTCGGACAGCACAACATAGCTTTAACACGCTGCCACGTACTCTCTGTGATAATGACAGCCAGACTCGCTGTCCACAAAATTGATACTATGGTTCACAAATAAATGTTCAAAACCTTCTTTTTCTTAATCCCAAATCCTTGTAGGATTTTACTTTGCACATAAATATGCGACTGAAATCTTGCCACCACATCTCTCATTGCAATAGGCCATTTCAAAACACGCACGACACGAATCAACGTGCAATTAAACCACTGCAGCAAAAGAGTTAAGTTTCAACATCAAAAGGGTTGACGTACAAACAACATTGTCCCCAAAACCATCGTACACCAGCACAGAACAAATATCGCCACATTTGGTGATCGCAGGGCATATATAAGAGTAGAACCCTGTTTATTAAATGGGCATGCTCCTGTATTTTTAACTTTTCGGCGTAGTTTTCTCTTAAAACTCATCACATGATGCATTGCATTGGGAAATAAAACAATTTTTAATTACAATTCTACTAAAAATAGCCAACTAAATACAAAATCTGTAACATTATGTTAAAATTTCCAGTAACCAAAACAAAAGTGTACTAATCAATAGAAAAACAGCTGTTTATTAAACTTTGTGCCATTTATTAAATTCAGATTATGCAATAGACTTATTCTTCATAGCCAGAATAATATCCTACTTCTATCTACCAAAGTTTTTTGCAGTTAATTCATTTCATGCATTGTGGACCGTGGCTTCATGGTTCAGATATGTAGTGTTTCAATAAAATGGGTTTGACCAAAATTTCCTACCCCCATTCCTTGTACCTGTAAAACACTGTTTTCAGAGTTCTTTATTTGCACTGGATGCATTTTATTTGTGATTTTTGGCGGTACATGGACTATCCATGTACCGCCAAAAATCGCCAAGTTTCGACAAGGGGTACCCTAAAATATACTTTTACCTTGATATAAATTGATACAAGATTTATAACTTTTTATTTTGTATTGCTGTCGAATTTTTATAATAATCTCATGATATTTATATAATTAATTTTTTTATTTTTTGCAGCAACTGTGTTGTTACCATGGCTGGCTCCTACTCAAATGGATATCAGTATTCTTCTTACAGTGGCCCTGAATCTATACCAGGTTTGTAATAAGGGCAGAATATGCTTAGGAAATTTCTTAAATTTGTAAAATATATTAGATAAGTGTTGCTTTTTGAATGCTTGCAAATTTAATAGGCTTTTGTTTAATTAAAACATTTTAAGTGTACTGTTCTCATTTTATGTAGGTGGTCAAAATGAATTTTCCAGGTTGTCAGAAGTTATAAGTACCAATATTCAAAAAGTGTCACAAAATGGTAATCTTATATTTTCCTTTTAGTTTTATCTTATTTCTTCATTCTTGTTTCCTTTGTTTATGTCAGTTTCATTAATGATGTATATTAAAAATGTGCTATACTTGTGTAATTTATCTAGTTGCTTCCATGCAAAAGATGGTGAATCAGCTGGGAACACCTCAAGATTGTGAAAGTTTGAGATCTCAGTTGTAAGAGATTTTTCTGCCTTTTATATTTCATTCTTTTTTTTTTTTTTTTAAATCTTTCTTTTCTTTCTATGTATTATTAGTTAATGTTAGAATTGTTATTCATTATGTGGCTAGGTGAGGTATATTTGGGAGAGAGGGATTGCTTGAAGCTTAATAATTTACTCTTTCTGTAAACAAATATTTTTCTTTCATGCGTAAAGCCATCATTGATCACAGTGAAGGAAGAAAAGGGGAGGATATGAGTGTGTTAGAATTCAGATTTAAAAAGATATCTAAATACATTTTAAAATTGATAATAAAAAATCCATCTTTTAACTTGTTCATTGGTTATCTAATAATGCCAGATTATTTGCAAAATTTCAAGTATTTATGTGAATACAGGGTGTTTATTAATGAATGGTGCTGTTTTAAAAATTAATAATAAATCAATGTATTACCTTAACTGTGTAAAACCTACACTGTAGGAATTGGTAACTGTTCAAGTTTCTCATGTGCTACCTGCTGTTTGCTTACTGCACAGCTGCAGCATCAGTTTCCAAGATGGCGCCGCAACAAGAAAACACTTTCTGTGAGCTCCATTTTGAGGTATCCAGATCTGTGGCTTCAGTACAGCGTGAGTTCCGTGCATGTTTTCTGTGTGATGTCACATGAGAAAGTGCATGGCCCATTTTTCTTCGAACAGGAAACTATGGTCGGTGACTCATTTCTACACATGTTGAAACCTGATTGTTACCCTAGTTGAATACCAATTTTAATGATTTTTCACAGAAATGTAAAGCTTCTTAATCGTGTTCTTAAAGAATGCTGAATTGGTCGGGCTGTAAGGCTCCATTCAGACGGTGGTACAGATGTTATAACTGGCTTAAGCCGAGTTTCGTTGCTAGGCAGTCAGACCTTGCTATGTCACAAAAACTGGTTTAGGGGTTTTGGTATTAAGTTCGGAGTTTTCAACTTTATGCTGAGTTTGGTATAAGAGTCAACCAATCACAGCAAACGTGCAAAACCTGTTGAGAGGGAAAACATAGCGGGAAATCTGTAGACACATCTATACATGTGCAAATTTAGCTTCTCTAATTGGCTATGCCTTAGACCCTGTCTTGCAGGTGTGAATGGAACTCCTGCATTTTATGCCTTCCAACTATGCCTCTATGACATTTATATCACCGTCTGAACACAGTCTAAGAGCAGATAGTCTATTTAACACCATGCATTTTCTTTCTTGGGGCATTTGTTAAAGACCAAGTTTATGTACTGTCATTCATTGCCTGTGTCCCTTGAGAAAGTTCGTGTTTGGATAAAATATGCAGTGCAAACCATCACAGCTGTCATGCTACACCGAGTGTGGAAAGAATTTGAATGTCGTGTAGATGTGTGTTGTGTGACCAAGGGCACACATATTGAAAGATTGCAATTAATGCATACAAAATTTCAACAGTTGCCGCTGGTTATGCTGTAAGGTTTTTCCATATGAAGTAATACATGGATTTATTATTAATTTTTAAAACCGCACCATTAATTTATAAACACCCTGCATTTTTAGGATTTTTGTCATATACTTAAAAGCTGGAGCTTTTTGATTGTTCATATGCATAAATAAATACTAATATAGTAAATAAAACATGTATTTCTTTGTTCATTTTAGTAGTAACTTGCCAATAATAATTATTTTGCTGTTGCAGTGAATGAACTATACAGCAGTTGTAAATGTAATCTTCCTTCAAGTAAAATCCCCCCCCAGCTTTTTTAACCCCCTGAGTATTAACCCCATACACAATGTTTAAAGGAAAGTGAGAAATTAATCTAAATCTGAGGTAATTAAGAGGAAGAAGACATGGCATTTATTCATACATGGTGCTGCATATAAAAGCAGGCTAAAAATATAACAGCTGCAATAAAAAGCATTTTTTTGAATTTTTATTCCATGAAATATTAGTTATGTTTTTGTAAAAGTGCCTTTTAAAATTTTTTTCCCTCCCTGTAGGCATCAAGTTCAAAATTATACAAATCAATTGGTAAAAGACACAAATAACCACCTGAAAGATCTTTCTCTCTTACCAAATCCTGCCAGTGTTTCTGACCAAGTAAGATTTAAAATGCCTTGAGTTTTATTTTTGTTTTTTTGCATTTTTATGTGATTTATAACTTGAGAGTTTTATTCTGTTAAAAAAGGTGCATAGTTTGTCTTTTCATTTTTTTGGGGGGGGAGGCGGAGGGACCACATTATATTATTTTAGTGTCATGTCATTAAACATCCATGTGTGCATGTGTGTGCTTATGTGGTGAGTTGTTGCTATAAAGTAGATCTTCATCTTTCAAATTATAATAATGCTTTGTATAGTATGACAAATTGAGGAGTTTAAAAACAATGTAAATATTTTGTAATAATTTTAGTTTATAATTTTAAATTAACTCTTACTTAATAATTCTAGTATAATTGTAGAACATTTAATTGCAGGTTTTTGTAAATATTTACATGAATTATATAATTAATAAAAGATTTTTCTTCTGCCTTATGTTATACAAATCACTTAGGAGACAGAAGTGTCCCCTTGCTTGACTCTGCAATGAGTAGGATCTCCAGATTCATATCTTTGTCCAAAAGTTAGTGCAGAAAGGTCAAATAGAGCCAGAAGTATCTAAAACAGCTTTAGTGACATTGATGATCCTCAAAGAGTATAAGAACTGACACTTCTGGGGGGGGGCACTCTGAAGAGCCTGGTCAGTTTGGCAGGACCGTCAAAGATGTGTACTGGAGAAAGTTGTGTACCAGGACGGTGAAGTTAGCAGTTATAACTGCTGACCATCAGGGGATATTTTCATTCCTTTAAAGTGTTTTGTTCTCAGTCTGGCTATGGTAGATAGCCAACGCCTTTTTTATTGAGGTCGAAGTCAGAGGAACTACAGTGGATGAACAAAAATATGGAAACACCTTGTGAAATGCATGTTTGAAAAGAAAGATTGATTTTAATGAAATATGTAGGTGGCGCTGGTGTTTTAGACTACTGACGCCACCTATACAACTTCGTAAATGTGCTAAACAGTTCAGTTGTTGTCGGAGTACTGTTATGTGAGGTTGTCATTGCATCATGTCAGAGTTAACAGATTTCGAACGTGGGCAAATTGTTGGAGCACGTATGGTAGGTGCTTCCGTAAGAAAGGTAGCCGAGGTGTTTAGTGTTTCAAGAGCTACTGTATCGAAGATTTATTCAGCATATTTGAAAAGCGGAAAAACATCATCTGCTAAATCACAGCGCGGACGAAAGTGTGTCCTGAGTGATCGTGACAGACGACCATTAACGGCAATTGTGACGAAAAATAAGAAGACCACAGCTGCAAAAGTTACTGCTGAAATGAATGTTGTGTTACCGATCCCTGTGAGTAATAAAACAATTAGAAGGGAGCTTCATAAACAGGGAATTGCTGGCCGTGCTGCAATTGAGAAGCCACTCATCAGTGATGCTAATGCCCGTAACAGGAAAAGGTGGTGTTTAAGTCATAAAGCCTGGACTATAGAGCAGTGGAAGCGAGTAATATGGTCTGACGAGTCTTCTTTCACATGTTTCCCACTTCTGGCCGAGTTTACGTCTGGAGAACGCCATCTCAAGCCTATAATACAGACTGCTTGTTGCCAAGAGTGAAACATGGCGGGGTTCTGTTATGGTTTGGGCAGCCATATCGTGGCTCTCTGCTAGCCCCATGATAACTGTGTCAGGGCACATGACTGCCAAGACTTATGTGAACATTTTGGCCGATCAAGTTCATCCCATGGTTACAAACTTTGTTCCCCGATGGTGATGGTGTCTTCCAAGACAACAATGTCCCTGTTCACACAGATCACATTGTCCAGGACTGGTTTTCTGAGCACGAGGATGAGTTGTCCCATCTTCCCTGGCCACCATAGTCACCAGACCTGAATATTATCGAACCTTTGTGGTCTACATTGGAACGAAAAGTGCGTTATCGTTATCCACCGTCAACATCGTTATCTGAACTTGCCACCGTTTTGCAGGAAGAATGGTATAATATTCCTTTGGCAAACATACAGGAACTGTATTTATCCATTCTGAGAAGACTGCAAGCTTTTTGGATGCCAACGGTATTCCTACACCATATTAAGCAAAGAAACATGTTTTTTTAAAGCTGTTTCCATATTTTTGTCCAACCCCTGTATCTGTCTAGGTAATTGGTAGGTTATGAGCTGAGTTTGTAAGCTCATTTATGGTGTGGGTGCCTTTCTCTTTAAGTAGTGCATTTGATTCTGTTTTGACACAAGGTTGTCAGAGATTTAAGTTGATAATAGCCTGTGGAGAGGGGCGGATGGAGAGTAGTGATTCTTTAGTTATATCAATAGCTTCATGCTCTAAGCCAATTTCTTTCCTAATCTCATGGTCCAGTTGTAAGGTGGAGGACCTTTTCAGTCTATTTTTTTCACTCCTGTGTCTTTAATTATTTTAAATATGGCTCTTTCCAATCAACAAGTGATTTCTGATATGTATTTAAAAACTAGTGCCAATATCCGCATTGCCACCTTGTTTTATAGTTACAACTTAACAAATTAACTCCAGAAAAAGTGTCTCCATTTTTAATTCACAAACATGTAAAGGTGCTGGACAACCAAAGCATATGAAATGGTTGCAATTGGGTGACTTATTAGTTGAAACGTCTCTTGTAGGCAGTCTACTACCCTTCTCAGTTTAAATAAACTTGGTAAATGTCTATGTGTCAGCTCACAAGACACTAAATTATACCTTTGGATTCATCTCTGAGATCAATCTCTTTTTGTGTTTTGAAGAAGGAATTCATCTTGGAGTTATCTGATCAAAATATCTGTGCTGCTAGGTGGATCAAGATGTATAAAGAAGATAAGTTGATCAATATGAAATATCAGTACTTTTCCATTTCGCCGGCGCAAATCTCGCCAAGCAGAATTTATTGGCGACAACGTACATTATACACATAAAAAATGTTAACAAATGTTAGTTCTAAGAATTTTTATTTTGAAGGCATAAACATTTTAATAGTGTTTAAAATTTTGTAAAAAGCCAATAAATAAAGACAATAAATTTGTAAAAAGACATTAATTTAAGAATTTACTATATACTTTCATGGTTTAACATCCTGATTCGCCGTATCACGTGACCACAAGAGATCTCATCCTACGTAAACTACGCTACAAAAATCTAATTCTCTCAGTAATTATCTACATTAATTCATAGACTCCAACTACTACGGATTCTCCGTAGTTTCTACGGAAATTCATGAAAAACTACAAGCTACGAAAAGTATGGAAAAAACTACGGATTTTACAGAAACAAGAGCAGGAGAACCAGTACGCAAAACGGAACCAACTAATTCATCCGATGATTGGCTGAATACTCGTGTTATCATATATCACGTGTTGAGTGCGTTCCTAGTTTTGAAGAATTAGCCAATCGTAGATCAGTAACTCCAACCGTTAACGACTTATCAATAGTTTCCACCCAATTGTCTGTCTCCCAGGTTCCTCGCTGATGCGTGTTTAGGCTGCATTCGGCTGCATTGTGTAGTTTACGGCGAGAGCTTAGCGTGTGTCTTGTGAACTGTGAATCAGGTGAAAGATTTTTAATCATAATGCTGCCTCGAACGAAGAAGCCAAAATTATCAAAGCAGAAGTTTAAAGATTCATATTCTTCAGAATTTCCATGCATTAAAGCGTCCGAAATTTCTGTGAATCACGCACACTGCAGTGTATGCAACAAAGACTTCTCAGTTGCTCATGGCGGAAAAGATGACTGTAAACGGCATGTGTTTTCTCAAAAGCATATAGAACTTGGCACCGTAAAATCTAAAGAAATAACAAATTTCTTAATAAAAGATGATGATGAAACAGATCCTATAAAAGCCGAATGCTATTTTGTTCGTTTTTTAATTGAACATAATCTACCGCTTTCTGTTTCGGATCATTCCAAAGAGCTTTTCAAAGCAATGTTTCCGGATTCTGCCATAGCAAAAAAATTTAGCTGCGGTCATACCAAAACTGCTGCTATTGTGAAAACGCTTGCAGAAAATACTGTTGCTGATATTATAAAATCAGTGTGCAGTACATCATTTTCTCTAAGTACTGATGGAAGTAATGATAACAATGATAACAAACTGTACCCATTGGTTATAACATACTATAGTAAAGAAAAGGGAGTGATAATTACTTCATTGATTTCTATTTTAGAATGCACGAATAATACAGGAGAAGGTATTTTTAATTGTATAAATGAAAACTTTAAAAACAAAGGTTTAGAATGGAAAAATTGCTTATCATTTTCTTCAGATAATGCTAGTAATATGATTGGAAAGTTTAAAGGTGTAGCATCATTTATCAAAATGCATCAACCAAGTATAATCACCCGAGGTTGTCCGTGCCACCTCTTGCATATAGCTGCAAAAAAAGCTACTGAAAAATTAATTGGCTCAGAAATTGAAATGTTGATAATAGATATATATTTTTACTTGGAGAAAAGTTCGAAACGGAAGCATAGCTTCAAAGTTGCTCAACAAATTTTGGGACAGAATGCAAAATCTCATAAAATTTTGAAATATTGCAGTACGAGATGGTTGTCTCTTTTAGAATCTATAACAAGGATTTTGGAACAGTGGGATGCTGTGATAAATTTTTTTGGAGATAAACCAGATAACAGTGAGAATGAAGGAAAGAGATTGCAAAACATTAAAAAAAATTTTACAGTCACCGACCACCAAATTGTACTTGTTATTTTTGAAAAATACTTTGCCTTTGTTTATAACAGTAAATATTAATTTGCAACAACAAGCTCCTTATATACATAAATTGAGAAGAGAACTTTTTGAACTTTTAATGAATTTATTTGTTAGATTCGTAAAACCATCAGTAATTTCTAAAGAAAATGAAGATGTTACTCTAACGTCTATTCCATTTCAGAAGTATAGTAAACAAAAAGAAAATGAAAATTTAGTGATTGGTGCGGAAACAAGACTATATTTAAAAAATGCCAAGTTGAATGAAAGTGAAGTGAAATCATTTTTTCAATTCTGTGCGAGCTTTTTTTGTAACTGCATGTTCATATATAATTGATAAATTTCCACTGAGTGATCCATTTCTAAAACATGCTGAAGTTGCTGACATCAACTTGAGAACTGAAGTCTCATTTTCATCTGTTCTTTACTTGATGAATACTTTTCCATCCATTATTGATGAAAAATGTCTTAATCAAGTAGAAATTGAATTTTCCATGTATCAAGTAGATGATTTGAAAGAAATTGTAGATTTGCGTATTGATATAGCATGGGGAGAAATTGCCAAATTAAAAAATATGAATGGGTGTATTAAATACAAAGTATTGCCTTCTGTAATGCTTGCTGTCTTAATAATACCTCATTCAAATGCAGCTTGCGAAAGAATTTTTTCTATTGTTAAAAAAAATCAGACGGAATTTCGACCAAATTTAGGTCTTAAAACTCTTGAAGCAGTTTTGATTGAAAAAATAAATATGCAGGCAAATGAAGAACTGTGTTATAAAAAAACATTCTCAAAATCAGAACTTAAGCTTGCTAAGCATGCTACATATAAATCTTTGCATTCATAAATTATGCGTATTTTGTTTAATACTTATATGTATCATTCTTGGTTATTTAAATTTTATTTCCCTGTAGAAATCATATCCAGAATAAAGATATGATTTATAGCTTCTGATTTTTTCTATGATTAGTAGTGATTTGAAGTACTTTTTATTAGTGAATGCTTGAGGAGTTAAAAGAAAATTTCTAATTAAATGTGCATATAATTTACAAGGTATATTTTTAATTATTCAGTTTTATATGTATATGGATTTTAAATGTAATAAAATTGATTACAATTAATTATTAATTTAAAATTAATGAATGGTTAATTACAACATACGCTACGCGCACATTTTCAAAGTTGTAAAAATGTCGTTCGCGCGTTGACTACTGACAAGGTTTGCTGAAGGTTGGAGTCTATGTTAATTTCAAGTTAAATCTTTGTTTGGAATACAAGTTTAAATGCAAGAATTGTTTCAATTCGTACGAATAGCTTACTCAGAAATTATGTAAAACCGCAGTGTTTTACTTCGCTGGCGCATTCCATTAGAATGGATGAATTTAACCCTTGACTTCGCCTTTACTATATTTTCGTTTTCAGGTGAGCGGTGTGATTGCTTCCTAATTGACTTAATTGCCACAAATGGTCTTAGGGCATGAAATTGAACTATCTGATAAAAATTCTATGTAATTATATGCCAGTATTGAAAAAAACAATCAATCTGATAAGAAATGGCTGCGACATTTTTTGAAAATGAGGCGTAAAAGGTTACCAGTGAGGATATTCCGTTTGGCATTAGTTGTACCATTATTGGCGACTTTATCACCTGCGTCGGCAAAACGGAAAAGTACCGAAATATCTAATCCTGACCTTCAGCTCTCCCGATCTATTTAAATGTGTAAAGACCAAGTATTTGAACTGCCATCTAAGACCATACATCCCCAATGTGATGTTTCTGGTGCTATCATTTTAGCCACACAAAGATGTCATGTCATGGAAAACCTACATGTGCACATTGTGTCAACGGTCATGAGAGTACTGTACCACTATGCGTTAATTGCAAAGAGAAGCACACAGCTTTCACATGCTCCTGCTCCGAGGGGAAAACCAAGAAGGAAATGCAGTCTATTAAAGTAACAAAAACATCACATATGCTGAAACTATAAGATTGGTGTCTTATGCTCAACTTCACTGAAATATATCCTTTGCTGATGCTGTGAAATCCGTTAAATCAGTCAGCACCTAAACTGCTTTCTGCATTTAAATGGGAGGGGGAGGCACACAACACACAGTTCCCTAACACAGTAGTCTCGCTTATCCAATGTAAACGAGCAGGCAGAATGTTGGGTAAGAGAAAATGTTGGATAATATTTAGATATTACGAAAAAGCCTATTAAACATCAAATTGTTGTAATTTTACACATTACGGACATAAAAATCATGCATTACAATAAAACAGAAAAAAATATTGAAATGCCTTTTTATTACTGCTTAATAAGTAGTTACACAATAGAATTGTTTTAAAAAAATGCTTGTGATTTTGGCTTGAGACTACGTGTGACACAATTCTAAAATCTTAACAGCTAGGAGCGCAGAGATTTTCAGTGCCCTTCGTAAAGTATCATCTTCTTTCTACATTTGGATCAATCTTCATTTCAAAATCAGACAGTTCATGTGCCTTTTTTAACAATTTGCTTAACTTATTGAAAATTAAAGGCACTTTATCTTCTTCACTATCACTGTTTTCACTGTCCAGCTGGTATTAGAAAATCATCCAATTCTTCATTCGTCATTTCTCGAAATAATTTTTTTACTACTTCTTCCATATCTAAAACTCCTTCACTGCCCACTGTGTTTGCAATATGTACAATATCTTTGGCTTTATTTTCAATCGATGGAAATCCTTTAAAATTTTGATAACTTCTGGCAAAAACTGATGCTACCAAGCATTCAGTATTGATGAGGGAACGCTGAACCATATGTGAATGAAATCCTAGCATTCGATAAATCAAATGGAATCAATTAAGGTAACACATGCGAGTGGAATCGCGTTCTGCAAATCTGCACCCGGCAAGGGTTTATTGTATTTTTATCGTTGTCTAGCAGTTTCTTCCGTGATATGGCAATTTTTATTGGCCTTACATCAGCCTAGGCATGTGCATTACTTATTACATTCACTGATGTATTTAAATTTTTCAATTATATCTTGTCTTCCTTCAATTTCTTCTGTTGCTGTAGGCTGTAGCTTCGTGCGATGGTCCTTTCTGTCGTTTCTAAAATGCCCTGAACCATAGGTTGGCATATGGCAGTTACTTTGGGGGGCTGAAACATGGCCTTAATGTCACCATCTTGAAGCTCCACTGTGTCAAGGTGTGGAGCATTATATGGCAAAAAACAGCATTTCTCTGCAAGTTATTTTCTTCAAAAACTTCTCTGTTGAAGGAGTGAATTCTTTAAGAATTAGTCTTTGAAAATTTCACTATTCATACATGTGTTTTTATGGCTACAGTATTTTACAAAAAGAGCATTTTTTGAGTATTTTAAAGGCTGTGGAATTTTGCAGCTTTCCAATCATTACAAGATCTATTTTCAAGTTTGCTGTAGCACAGGGTTTCTTAAACTGTGAATCGCGACCCCCAACGGGGGGTGCCAAAAATGTTAGCAGTTTTGATATTTCTTTAACTAATTATAATAATTTTACAATTAACAAATATTTTTACACAATGTATCTGAAAATAGATAAAGATAAGACAATACAGACAAAGATAAAAATGAAAACGTTTTGATGCGTACTTTTTATAATATAAACGTTCATTTTTCTTGCTTCGCTCATAATTTTTCATCTGTTACTTATTTAAAATTTTCACATTTATTTATGTCTTAAAATTAGAAAATAAAGTTAATGACCTAAAACTGCATTAGTATATTACAGTGCAAGTAAAAAAAATCGAGTTTCACTCACGCGTGTGTTGGATTTGCACAATACTTATGGGTTCACACAAAATTTTTGTAAATACACTCTTAGACCCCCCCCAAAAGTAAAATAAAATAAAATAAAATAAAGGGACGCATCAAGAATAAAGCAAATTGGACACAAATTGATATGCATACAGGTTTCGACGGAAATGCAAAATTGTATGTACATTTTGGCTGCCAATGAATGAACGGTTGTCGCTACAGCGCATCTGATCTGCGCAACTTCCAGGATATTTAAGAGGAGAAATTACGATTCCAGCTCATAAATTCTTCACGGATTTCATTCCATGTACTCTGGTAGACAGTAATTATGCCTCACATACTGGTGCACAAATGATATGTGCAGATGTCAGAATTTGAGAAAGGTCATGTAGTTGGGGTCAAAGTAGCCAGTTGGTCTTATCGGCGAATCGTACCGCTGATGATGTACTGCTTCTCATTGATAGTCCTTGGGCTGCTATAAATGAGTGGTGTTAGGAGGCGTCTTCTAGGACTGGTCCGTAATAAGCAAGGCATGGAGTGGCAAATTCACATCACCTCGGGGAACTGTCCTAAAAATAAACTTGTTTTTATAAGAGCTTCCTTTCTGTGTTTCAAGTACATTATATGTTAATGACCTCTTTGGCATTGATATATAGAATTTTTGAACATTTAAAATAAGTGTGATGTATCCTTTATCAGCAAATGTGTTTTTGCATGTAAGTGATTATAATGCATTAACTGTGTCTCTTTGCTGTACTTTTTCTTTTAGAAACAAAGAAAGATTTTGAGAGAAAGGTTAACTAGTCAATTTTCTGATGCATTAAAGAATTTTCAAGGGGCTCAAAGAAATGCAGCTCAGAAGGAAAGAGAAAGTGTTATGCGGGCTAGAGCCCATTCTGGTCTCAAAGGGGTAAGTTTAATCAAACTACAGTATACATCTTCAACAGTATAAATTTCTCAGATGATTTATTCCATCTTTTTATTACATTTAAGAATCCTTTTGGTGATGATCCACCAGCAAGCGGGCAAAATTTGATAGATCTTGCAAGGTAAGGCAGAATGAATATTATTCATGAAAAATCCATCTTTGTGATTAAACAAATAAATAAAGATTTTGAAAAATTACTACTAATTTCTTTATAAAGTTCATTTTTAATCATGTGTTCTTATGTATTTTATTGTTTATTCGTGTATATGAGAATTTTTATTTTATGTACATGTTATCAGCAAAGTATGAAATGCCGGAATTCTATAGAATGTCTTGGTATTGTATATAATGCCAAACCAGGCAAAGTATGAAAGAAGAGAATTATTACATATTTTACCTAGGCATTCTACAGAAGGAAAAATGCTCTTTAGGCAACAACAACAACAAAAAAAAAAAAAGTTATGATAAGGCTATTATTTAAAAGACGTTCATTCCTCTAAAATACAAATGTTATTTTGAAAAAATTATGGAAGAATGCCATTAAAAAACTGTTCTTCGAAATATATTAAAAAAAAAAAAAAAAGATAGTAAGGTATCTTGATACAGTGTAATAAATTGGTATTTTCTGTCTGGCTGAGACTGGGAATCGGTATGATCTACCTGACAATGGAAGTTAAATTCAGAAAAAGTCATAAGTTTCACATCAGTGCCCTTTTTAATACCTTTTTGTTTTTTCTGGAAGAGCTCACAAAGGGAGTTGTTAAAAGGCTATCACTTCCAGGGACAATTCCGAGAAACAAGATTCTAGTAGCACTGCTTTAAGCGGGAGGCTTCCGAGAAATGTTTCGTCTAGCTAGGCGCAACATGTCCTGGCTATGAGCAACATTTTTACATCTGGAGACGAGTTCCTCGTACGTTCAACCAATCAGACGAAAGTTCTGCTTCTGAAGGATCACGGGTAACTTTCAAATATGGCGATGGCTCTCACTGTGAAGTCATGGACAGTGGAATTAGAGGCCGATTAAATTATTGCTGTTTTGTTGTAATATAACTGCCTGAGTCATTTAAAAAATGTTTAAATATTCATTAGAGAAATATTGATTATATTATCTCCTAATATAAATTTAGTACTATAAATTGAGTATTAGTATTAGAAAAACTTATTTTTGAATTCAATGAATTTTAAATCATTCTATATTCATTAAATATATAATCATAGAAATTTCAGAGTTGACAGTATTTTATGACATTCTTGAAGTTCAGATTTGTTTACAAATTGTTCATCGTCAAAAGTTTGCCAAATTTGTCGTATTTCATGCTAATAGTGTATTATCACTGTTATATAATAGAATTTTATTTCTTAAATTTAAGTTGAATATTTTTTAAAATCTGTTTATATATGCGCGGCTTTTCTCGTAATTACTTATCTTTTACATTGTTAATTGCATAATCAGTGACACATTTTAAACAGCATAAAAGATGCATAAAAAAGAAAAGCATAGTTTATGTAATAATGAGAATACTCATTAAATTTGTCTATTATTTTCATGTTATTAATGAATACTTTTTGGATTATAAATACATTATTATACAACTATACTTTTATTGTAAATGATACATATTGAAACATTGGAAATTTATCGATTTATTATTATGCATGATGAAAACATTTGTATATACATTCATTAATATAAATCTTATTCATTACATTAATACTAATAAATATATATCAACAACTTCTAAACCATCGCATCTCTCTATCTGTATGTAAGTATATGACATATTAGATGTATTATATTTATGTATGAATACAAAAATGAACATTGCCAAAAAGTTTATTTGAAGTTGCTTCTAATTCATATAATGATCATGTAATTGGTAGCAACTGTAGTCATCAGTTCTTGTAAATTTTTATGGATATGTAATAATCAATTGAAAAATAATTGATGAGCATTTGAGTACTAAAGAGTGTACACATTTTGTTTTTTCATAATTATATCATATGTATGATCAACATAATATAAACATGACTAATAAATAATAAATGTAACAGCTATGCATCTATAACATTTGATTACTTAAAACAGTGCACAACTGATTATCACCTTCATGTGTGTTTTCACATTTGTAACTGGTATACAAGCCAGTTTTAAAAAATCTTCTACAAAGGGATCCCTCCTGTTAGACAGATATCCATCGAGGCTTTGCCGTACATGCCATAAAACAAACTCATGATGTGCACCTCCGAATTTCTAGAGTTGGTATAATTAATGTGTTTTAGGTATATTACCGACTGATCTATGGGACAGTAAACAGCTCGCACATGTTTGATTGCTCATGTATTCATATGCTTTATTTAATCTTCATTTTGCTGAATAGTATCTGCTGGCTGTGAGGATGTAAATATCATCCATACAGATTTTTGTAATAGAAGGTGTTAAGTTAGAATACAGCGCCACCTATTGGATAGGGAGAGAAATGCTCACTTGGCCATCTGGATTCGGGTAAGTCACATGCCAGAGCATGTATTAGATCTGAATGTAGTTAATTACTGTCAATAAATTAGTTCTTTTGCTATACAGTCCACTCATTCGTTTAGATTCGTAGTACAGAAGGGACGTCATTTTTTGGGTCTGTTTGTTTATATCTATGGATAATAGTAATGAGCCATAAAGTTAGTCAAAAAAATACTTTCACCAGGTCATAAATTTTCATTGGAATGCAGGCATCAGAAAATACACATAAGTATACACATCTAGTTTTAGGCATTATATACAATGCCTAGGCATTCCATAGAATACTGTATTTCATACTTTGCCGGTAATATATATAGATTTTGCAGGTAAGGCAGTTCTGACTGATATAAAATTAGAAGATGTTCTAATCCACAGCATTTGTAGATGAACAACTTCAGGAGGCAGTTATTATAATACTTGCTCGAAACGCATGATTTGAGATGCTAAATTCCAACATAATTATTAATTTCCTTTTTAAAATACTGTTAAATACTATTTTAAGAAAGCAAAAGTGGAAAAAAAAAACCTTTGGGAAATAAAAATGAATTCTATTTTAAGCTTTCAGCTTTCATTATAAATGTGGTCCTCCTCTTGTTTAGGGGGTCATGTTGCTAAAATTGTTAAGATTCAGTGATCTTACTATTTATTTTATTTGAAATTATTATTATTATTATTATTATTTTTTAAAGTTTGTAGTAGAAATGGAAATATTATAGCCATGGAATTAGCAATGATGATCAATTCTATGATTTTCTCTTTTCATCATTAGGTTTGACATATATATCATTTCCCTATATGGTCTGTCCTCGAAAAATAAATGTTACTTCAAAGCATTCAGATTATTTTTGAATTTTCATTTTCATTATTGCATGCAAATTCTGTTTTTTGTAATAATTTTGTGAAAATATATATTCTTTTGCATGATATAAAAATAATGCTTAAATAATGCTTCCTTGTCGAGGTTAGTGTGCGAATTTGGTTTTAGAGAATAACATTGCTATGTTGATTTTCAGTTATAAACCAATAATTAAAGTTGACTCATCATAAAGCTTTAGTTTTCTATAAAAATGTTGAAGGATTATTACACATATTCATGTAATGCAATATTACTGTGTCATACAGTTTTATCGCATGGTAAGCTGATTTGGTTAGTGTTTTTTAATCACTGTCACATATTTTTCTCCTTACCTTTTAAGTAAGTTCTGAAAATTTTAAAAGTGTTGCACAATTTTTGCCTTTCTCTGTTGTATATAGTTTTTCCCTCCAAGGTCTAGTTTATTGGTAAATCGATTATTTTATTTATTTATTATTTTTATTCAGTGTATTTCATTTATTTTATTTACCTGTGAATTTATTATTTAATATGTATTTTGAGCTTTCTTAAGTCATGGGAGGCGTTCTCACTCTTACGAATCTTTCCAAACATGTGATTTCACCGTATTTACATTCCAGCTTGCTGTAACCTTGGTTGTTGGTGATGTGTTTGATCTTTCGAAACCTGAGTCTTTTGTTCACCACCCTTCTCCTTTGTTCTACCAATGTCCCTCTTAGGAACTGCAGTCAAATCTCATTCAAGTGAGGAATCCTGCCTGAGCTTTACAAAATAATTGAGCTGGACATGTCATGCAAGGTTTTCAGTAAAGAAATAATATTTTGATAGCTACAGTAGTTTTTCCATAACTACTTTTCATTTGTTGTGTTCATATTGTACGTGCATTCTTCAAAAATTAAAATGCTTGCATAATTTTTCCCTCTCAATTTTCGGAAGATAAAATTAGTTTCAGGGGCATAAATTATGTTGATTGGTTATTTAAATATTGCAAAGCACATGGAAACTATCTGCCGAAGGGAAGGGATGCTTTCATTAAGGACTATGCTGAGGAAAAGTGGCTCGTTTTCACATTGCACATGGGCAAAATGATTATTAAAGATTGAAAAACATCAGTTTAAATACATAGAAGGCTAAGAATATTGCAGAAAAGAAGTTATTTATAAATAAATAATAAAAGCATAATTGTGGCTATATCTGAACAATACTGCAAAAAAATCATTTTTTTTTTTTTTTTTTTTTTAATTTCACTATTTAAATGAAAAGTTAAAACTTATTTGGAAGTATGGATTTTAACAAACTAAATGTAGATGATAAAATTGTTTAAAGCCATGCCACAGTGATAAAAGAGTATAAAATTGTTTGTATGCATATCATTCTAAATTAAAATGTATTTTCATTTATATATCTTTTTTCTGAACAGCCCATTGAAAAGCCATGTTAGCTGTACTTTACAGTGTTTTCTGTTTTAATGCAGAATGCATAATGACAAATACTGGGGGATGAAGTATTTTTTCAAAAGAAATGCTATTAAAATAATTAAACTCAAATTAAAAAAAAATTCATATGATTAAAACATGTTTAAAGCAGATAAAAATAACAACTGTGATTAAAATTTATGGGTATGTGTAATATAAAATAAAAATATATGTAAGAAAGAAAAAAAGATACTTTTTTTTCCTCTCTCACATAATAAAAGGGAGATTTAAATAGATTACCGTAAACTGAGAAGTTTGCCAAATGTATTATTCTTGGCACAAAGTAAAAAAAGATGCT